TTTTTTTTTTTTTTTTTTTTTTTTTTGTAGCTTTGGGCAGTCTGCCATCTTCCTCCTGGGTGGCCTCAAAAGAGATGAAGCCCCCACAGCCATGTTTATGCACAGCGGTGACATCATGGTAATGTCAGGTTTCAGCCGCCTGTTGAACCATGCAGTTCCAAAGGTCCTTCCAAGTTCACAGGGGGAAAGTCTGCCCTGCTGCCTAGAAACACCTCCCCCGGCTGTCCTCCCCAGGGACTCGGTGGTAGAGTGCTGCTCCATGGAGGACTGGCAGGTGTGCTCCAGCTACTTGAAAACTGCTCGTGTTAACATGACTGTCCGACAGGTACTGGCCACAGACCAGGACTTCCCTTTGGAACCCATGGAAGAGAATAAAAGAGGCATCACCACCGAAGGTTTCTGCCATCTGGACGACGAGAAGAGCCACGTAAAGCGAGCGAGGTTAAACCCTGACAGCTGAGACTTGGAGTGTAAATGACCATGCTGTTGTATTGCATTGACTTTAGCACCAAGACAAGCCAAAAACAGAGACAGGAAGAACTCACCTTGATCACACTGTTGCCTTGGAACCCATTGTGGCTAGTAAACTGACATCACATACATGCCTGCCTAACCAGGACTGGACCAGACAGGTGTTCAGTCCTGCTCAAGCAGTAATGTATGTGAAGTCCAAGGAGGTGTGACATTCCACAACAGCCTTCTCAGCCCCTGCCATTACCTCTGAGCGAGGTAGAAGTGAGTTTCCATGTCTGTGGAGTCTTTAAATATCTCACATTTTATTGATGGGAAACATAATAGCCCTCCTACCACCCCATCTAGTGATTTTATGATAAAATTGTGGTTCCATGAATCAACCATCCATCTCACTTCATTCTTCCAATTAACATCAAATCTTTTGATCTTCCATCTTTTCTGGCCTTCTTGCTGTTGGCTTTTAAATGCAATTTTAATTGTTAGACTAAAAAAGTCCAAGGATGTCCTGTAACTCTCTTCTCCGTGATTAAACTTACTCAATTTTAAATTAAAGATCTGTATCTCTCTTTGAGGGTTAGTATATCTGGGATTTGTTTTTTTCTATTTCTACTTGCTGTATTATTCTCACTGTTGAAGCCCTACCAAGCATGTCAAACTTGTGATCGGTGGGCCACATGCCTCATTTATGTAAAGGAGGCATGCAGCCTACGGGCTGCAAGCTTAACATGCTCTGCCCTAGGTATTCTTTGGGGCTGTCTCAGAGGAGAGACTATTCCTTGGTGTCCCAGTCACTGCTGTCTTTTTTTGGTTGCAGACAACTTGGAAAATACATGAAAGTGTGAGTTTTAATCTCTCTACCCTCACCAACTCAACTCACTATACCCTAAGCTAAATTACTGTACATTCCATTGGACCACACCATTTTACCAGTGTTGATGTGTGTAATGTGCACATGTACAGAAAAGGCTAGGTCTTTAATACATAATATATATTCAAAATTCTCTATAGTGAACATAAATTACTTTTGAAAAAGGCCTTTGTGATGTTTTTTGGTTTTGTGGGGTTTTTTAAAAATATATTTTTTACTCACCGTCACCCAGCTGGCAGAACCCAGGCATGTGCCCTGCCCGGGACTCAAACTGACCTCCTGGTTCATAGGTCGATGCTCAACCACTGAACCACGCCGCCTGGGCTTTTGAGATGTTTTGAAGGCAGGCACACACTGAGCTCAGCAGCAGCACCTTTGTAAAGTGTCCACCCACCTTTCTAAATGTGCTCTCCTCAGTTTTGTTCCCGTCTGAAGCCCTTTCAGTCTCTGATCTTCCAATTGCTTTAAAATATGTCTGGCTAAGATGGATCCTCTCACCTCTCTTGCTTATCTCGGAGCCTCTTGCCTGTTTCTAGCACCCAACATCGGGTTTTTCCTAGAAGGGTCCCAGGCCTTCAGTGTGACATGCACGTATTGCTGAACAGGCTCGGCAGGACTTGGTTCACATGTTCTAATATTCCCAGTTCCCTTTTCACTAAAATAAGCTGGTCGTATCCTTTTCTCTTTTCCCCTAATCTAAAAGGTTGTTGATTACAGTAGGGAAAAAAATAAAACCCTAATACCCTAAGTGGATTCGACTAAGACAAATTAGAATGGTAATGAGGCAGAAAGGAGCCTGGGGAATGATTATTGATCTCAGCGTGACGGGCGAGAGGAGCTAAGCAGGAAAACCTCTCACCTATTTTCTTCTGTTTCAAAGGTTACAGTGGGAGAAAAAGCAATGCAAGTCTATTTTCTTAGCCTGGGTAGTAAATCTTTATTGATACTCCTTTTGATCAACTATCCTATCCAAATCTGAGCCCTCATGGGGCAGAGTTTGTTAGGTCTCAATTTGTTTTATTGGTAAAAACAGAGTTCTTAATAAGATAAAATGATACTGTCGATGGAAAGTGAAATAGAGTGGTTATCAGGAAAGCTAAGCTTTAATAACACCTCCAATACCTATGTACCTTGAATAAGTCACTAAACTGAGGCCCAGTTGACCTTTTTTGAGCCACAATTACTATTTTTAAGACCCAGTTTGCTCGTCTATAAGGAGGTTTTTACCAAGTAATCCTGTATTACGTACCAGCTCTGCAATGCTATCATTTTAAAATGAGAAATTAATTTCAGATTTTAGATAAACAGCAAACAAAGCTACCCCATGGGCAAGATTTTTGGTAAGGAAATCAACCAAAGGATAGGAAAGGAAAACAAAATGAACTTTTTAGGAGAACAATAGCCAGTAAACATGTGAAAAGATGCTAAACTCACTAGTAGTTAGGGAAATATAAATTAAAGCTTGAGATATAAATTTCTACCCATTCATTTGGCAACTCCTCTATCATTTGTCTCAACTCCTCTATCACTCAAACCCTATTTTTATTCACCTCACTGTTACTGCACTGGCCAAAGCCACTATAATCTCTCAACTACATTATTGCAATACCCGCCTAACTGACTTCTTCCATGCTTGTCTCCACCACCTACTCTCATAGTTTGTTCTTAACATAGCAGCCAGAGTGAGGCTGCTAACACTCAAGACAGATCATGTCACTCATGCTCAAAACTTTCTAATGTCACTCCTCAGTTGGAGTTGAAGCCAAATCCTTTCAGTTTGCAAGTCCCTACCTAAGCTGACCTCCCTGTTTCCTCTTGGTTCTTTCACCAACTCCGTTCAAGCCGCACTTCCTCCTTGCTGCACCTCTGAACAGGCCCAGGACATTCCTAGCCAAGCCTCTGCACTAGGCGGTTTGTTTCCTTTGCCTAGAACACTCCTCAAGATTTGCACTCATGTCCCTCAAGGGAGGCTCAAATATTGACTATTCCAAATCTCAGTCCCACTGGCATTTCTAATTTTACCATATTGTATTTTTTTCATAATATTTATGACAGCATTCTACATAAGTGACAAAATAAGAAAAGAATGCTTTTTAAAAATTTATTGAAAGTATTACATATGTCCCCTTAGAAAATTATGCTTTTTAAGAGAATATGATAATTAGTGTTTTCTTCTACCAGGCTATGGGTGCCACAGGGATAGATGTGCCCTAGTTTTCTATAACAGTGACTGGCACATAGAAGTTGCTCAATACATATTTGTTGAATGGATGGATGTCCAGTGTTGGTGGGATGTGTGAAAATGGGCACCCATTCACTACTGTGAGAAGTAAATTGATAAAGTTATTTGGAATGTAAATTTATAAAGCTATTATCAGTGTTTAGCTAAATTTTGACCCAGGGATTTTAGGTATTTTCCCTATGGAAATGCCTAAACAGGGATACAATGAAATGTGTAAAAAGATGTTCATTATCATGTTGTTCATAATAGTGGAAAACTGGAAACAACCCAAATTTTAATCAGTGGGAAAAGGGTTATTTAAATTATGTTCATACATTCTATAGGATATTAATACAATGCAGCTCTTTACAAGAATGTACTGACATGAAAAGGGCTCCAAGATGCACTGGTTATTGAAAAACATGAAATGGAAGATCATATGTATAATGTAAAAACTATGTAAAACTATTATGAAAGTAAAAAAACCTAACAAGTAAAAACTAAACAAGACTATTTTCTGAATATGCACATACATATTTGTAAGGAAATGGGGGAAAGATACATCCAAATGTAATAGTTGGGAGAAGAAAGGTTGGGAGGTGATAAAAAGACTTTTACTCTTGATGCTTTTGTGTTGTGTGATATTTTTATAAGAACATATTTATACATTACAGAAATGTTTTAATTAGGCATAGAAAACCCTGTAAAGAATCATATCCTATATAATAAAAGGCTAATATGCAAATAGACTGAACAGTGGAACAACTGGTCACTATGACGTGCGCTAACCACCAGGGGGCATGCACGGAACATGGTGAGTGTTGGCTGCGAGGGATGGTGGAGCAGGTGGGGGCGGGGGAGCAGGGTGCTGATGGTTACTGGAAATTTTTTGCTCCCGCACACTGTGGTCCCAGCACTCACACCTGCTGCTGGCACCGGCCCCAATCACTCTGCGCCATCAGCAGGTGCAAGTGGAGCCAGTGCTGTCAGCACATGGGAGCAGGGCTGCGGCAGGAGGGGCTGAGCAGGGGCATGGAGGATGGGCCAAGACCAACCCCTCTACCCACTGCAGCCTCATGGCCCACAGTTCCTTTCAAGATGCACAAATTTGTGCACTGGGCCCCTAGTGTAATAAAAAATGGAGGGACTTCATCTTTCAACTCTGTAATTAGAGTTTCCTATTATAGATCAGATCTGATGCTGTGTTAAATGATGCAGAAAGCAACTGTTCAGCTGCTTCTACAGAGGCTTTAGTTCTGGTCTCTGGGTTGGATTCTGGGGGTGGGGTGGAAGTGGCTAGGGGGGTCCTCTACCTATACAGACAAGAGGACCAAGCTCCACCGTATTTTTGCATATCCTAAGCTCACGTAGCTTGCTGTGCCCAGAAACCTTGATCTACCTCTACCATGAAAATATTAGATGTGGGTTTTGGTTGCTAGGTCAGCCTTAAGGTGGAACCAATGTTTGATGGCCATAGTCCCCTAAAAAGAACCACTGGTCCAGGGAAATGGCTGGGCAGAAAGCATTGAAGGCCACACAGCCCCAAGATTTTTTATTTCTGTGAGAGTAAGAGAGAAGAACGGCAAAGCCTGTACATGTCCTGGGTGCACTATGTGTTCCCTGGTGTTAGTTGGTAACCATCTGTCCCCCACAGTGAGATGGGGCCTGCGGGTGTGCCCAGCCAGTGGTGGCTGTTTCCCTTTGTTCCCATCAGCAGCGACCAGTCACCAGCTACAGGCCCTACAGACGTTGCTTCTTCATTTTTAGAGGTGCTTAACGCCGAGGCTCCAGCCTCAACAGCTGGGAAGGAGTGAACAAACCATCTCCCCTGGGTTTCTGGCTATGCAAGATTTTTCTTCTCTCTGAGGATAGTCATGCCATATCTATGTCATTAACCAACTACTCCTGCCTTAGGAAGGGTCAAGTGGTGGAACAATTGCTACGGGGGTAAAAGAAATATCAGCCTCTGATGTCAGCAGCCCTTGTTACATAAGTAACAGCAGCTATTGAGCATCTGTGAAGCGTGAGTCACTGTGTTGTATGCTTGTGACAGGCATTGTTTCTGCCCGCAGGGCAGGTCCTACAGTGAGTAGGAAAAACACCCACATAAACAGGCTGTAATCTAGGCTGTGATGGGCCAAGTACAAGGTGCCATGGAAGGAGCACTTACCCCACAGTGGGTAGGAAAAGGCTTCCTGCAGGAAGTGACCTAAAAGCTGACAAGGAAGGAGCCACAGTTAGCTTCTCTCCCTTCTGTCTGGCAAAAGACCATTTATTACCTCTCATTTCAAGTGATCTTGTGGGAATAAAAATGTCTGGGAAAGTGAAGACTTTAATAGTTTATGATTCTGTACAATTCATATTGAGATTCATTTATTTTGTTCAAAGCCCTTAGCAATGTCTGCTATTACATCTTTTGTTCACTCTTATTATATGTATCCTCCACAGAATAAGCTCCCCAAGGGCAGGCATTTTTCTGTCTTGTTCACT